AAATTTCAGGTACATGCAAGAGTGGTTCGACATGCAAACCTCTGAAGGTATTTTTCTCTCTGTATGTTTCTGCATGTTCTTTGTATTTATATTATGTCTAATTTTAATTTTGTCCCTGCATGTACTTCAATCGGAGCTTCCATTCAAGTTACATTGGAGAGGAGTTCTTCTGATTCGTTTCTCTTCTTCACCGGCGAGGAGTCCCTGCATGTTCTTCAAAAATTTGTTAAATTTTTTTTAATTTTTTTTTAATTATAAAGGTTTTTAATATTAAAAATTAATATTATAATTTAATTTATAAAGGTAATATTTTAATTTGTTTGAATTTGACAAAATTCAATATTATAATTTAATTTGTTAATAAAAATATGTCTGATCTAAATTTGTTAATAAAAATATGTCTGATCTAAATTTGTTAATAAAAATATGTCTGATCTAAATTTGTTAAAATTAATATGTCTGACCTAAATTTGTTAAATTATTTGAATATGATTGTTTGAATCGAGTGTTGCATTACTTGTCTTTATCAGGTCACCGAGTTTAGGCCTCCAAGCTTTTGAAAAATCATCCTAAGGACTCAAGGGTGATTGTTCAGAGGCTTGGCGGCTAAACTCGGTGCGAAGTTAAGACAAGACTCAGCTCATTGATTTTGTGATTGTGCTGTTTGTTTTATATCTGCCTAGTTTGTTTGTGTAAAGTAGATTGATATGTCTGATCTAAATTTGTTAAATTTATTTTTATATGATTGTTCATTTGTTTGAATTGATTGTTTCATGAGTTGCATTGCTTGTCTTTACTAGGCACCGAGTTTAGGCCTCCAAGCTTTTGAAAAATCATCCTAAGGACTCAAGGGTGATTGTTCAGAGGCTTGGCGGCTAAACTCGGTCCGAAGTTAAGACAAGACTCAGCTCATTAATTTTGTGATTGTGTTGTTTGTTTTATATCTGCTTAGTTTGTTTGTATAAAGTATATTGATATGTCTGATCTAAATTTGTTAAATTTATTTTTATATGATTGTTCATTTGTTTGAATTGAGTGTTTCATGAGCTGCATTGCTTGTCTTTATTAGGTCACCGAATTTAGGCCTCCAAGCTTTTGAAAAATCATCCTAAGGACTCAAGGGTGATTGTTCAGAGGCTTGGCGGCTAAATTCGGTGCGAAGTTAAGTTAAGACAAGACTCAGCTCATTGATTTTGTGATTGTGCTGTTTGTTTTATAGCTGCATAGTTTGATAGTTGATACATTGATAGTTTGATGTCTCTGCCTCGGTTACCTATTTGTCTTGACTTATGTAGCTTTAATTTATGTTTTCTTTGCCTGAGATGATGGAGTGATTGTGAACAAGCAGGATCAATGGAGAATCAAGTTAAAACAACCGAAGCTCTAAGGTGAGTAACTTAATCTCTGGAAGTGGAATGTAACTTATCGTAGGTTATCGGTAGCTAAGGGTTTTAATTTACGTGGATAACTGGATGTGTACTTGCATAAAATTTAAAATATTTAAAAAAACAATTTTAACAATTTTTTAATTAGAACTTTAACAAAATTTAGAAAGCCCTAATAACTAAAACAGTTTTAGAAAAACCGCAAGGCGAGACCAAAAAAACACCAGAACCGCAAAACGTGAGAGAGAGAACATGGGATCGAGAGGCGACTCAGAAGATCACACGTTTGATCCGAACTACGTCCCACCAGATACAGTTGATTTGGAAACTCAAAATCTCATAGCTAAGCTTGTTGCAAAAGAAACAAACGTTGATCGGTTCCCTGAAGACGATGTAGCTTGCGTTCCTGGAAAGAAAGGAAGCAAAAGAAAGCTTATCAGTCTTGTAGATGAAACTGATTATTCTGATGTTGAGATCACTCCATCAACTCAAAAAACCAAGCCTCGCAGAAAGACTTCTTTTAGAACAGCCTCGAGGAAACCGATGTTGCAATCCACTAGTGGCATTGGCTCGTCCTCACATGCGTGTAGGAAGTCTGTTCCTATGAAGTCTGTGATTCGTGTAGGGAGAAGAAAGGCCGTGCCTACTCAGTCGCCAAAGAAGAAGGTCGTGCTTAATGAGTCGCAAAAGAAGAAGGAGAAGGTCGTAGAGGACATGATTTACTTGGGATGAGGAGAGAAAACATTCCTTATCAAGTAAACAGAGGATTTTCAAGATTCAAAGTAGTTTATTTTTTATACCACCATAGGCCCTATATAAACATTTCTATTTGCTACTTCAACTAAGTAAACATGGGTCTGTGCTAATTCATAAAAGAAAAGCAAAGCAATGTGTTCCTTGTGAAGCAAGTAAACAGACGGTTTTCAAGAATGGCAGTAGTTGGTTGTTTACACCACCATAAGCCCTAAATAAAATGGCTATGTACTAATTCAACCGTATAAACATGACTATGTTCTAATACATAAAACAAAAGCAAAACATTGTGTTCCTTGTGGAGCAAGTAAGCAGAAAGTTTTCAAGATTCAAAACAGTTCGTTGTTTACACCACAATAAGCCCTAAATAAATTGGCTAGGTGCTAGTTCAACTATATAAAAATGGTTGTGCTACTGCTAGTGCTAGATCATAAAACAAAAGCAAAACATTGTGTTCCTTGCGAGACAAGTAAGCATAGAGCTTTCAAGATTCAAAGTAGGTCATTGTCTACACATAATCCAAATAAATGAAAAGAACTCACGTTGAGCTGATTGGTGTAGCCTCGGCGAACAGTGGAGCTCTCATCCCAAAGCTTATCAAAGAAGAGGAACCGTCGGAGACCAAACTTGCTAACGAACCTTGAGAGACATAAGAAAGAAAGGGCAGCGAAGCTGCTGAGAGAAAGCTGAACCACAGAATCATAAGGCCTAGAGTGATGGCTATCGCAGTTGGCGCAAGCGAGCATGAAGTGAGACATCGCAGGAACCACGAGTGTGAAAACGACAAACATGGACTGTTGGGATTAAAGATCCCACATCGGAAATATGAATGGGACATGAGTAATATATAAGGGACTTCGGCCAATCCACTAATTGCCAATTGGTTTTAAGTTGGAAGCCCAAGAAACTTATCATGGTATCAGAGCCGGCCCACACCCTGACCCATTAATCCGGCCCGGAAAGTGGCTCGATCAACCCATTAGCTGATGGCCCAGAGAAGGCTCAGTTCTATCAAGATTGCTAGAAGAAAAAAAAAAAAAAGCATTGTCTTGGTAGGGGTATGATGGATTGTGCGAGATTAATGGTTATACGCACCATTATCTCGAGGGAGGGTGTTGGGATTAAAGATCCCACATCGGAAATATGAATGGGACATGAGTAATATATAAGAGACTTCGGCCAATCCACTAATTGCCAATTGGTTTTAAGTTGGAAACCCAAGAAACTTATCATGGGACCAAGACAGAACCGCTGTCCAAGGGCTTGACTGGTCCACGCACATCCATCTCAGATATTTCCGGAAACTATGGAGCTCTTCGTACGCGTTCGAGACAGAACGCTTGAACTTCTTTTCACGGTGAATCAGGAATAGCTAAAATAGTGAAGGTTATTTATAAATGATTGATGCCAACGTAACGTGGCCTTTGACAACCCATGTAGATGCCATTTATCCTATGTTGCTCGCATCGTATTTATTTCGAGCCAACGTATACCATTTGGATTTGACAACGGTTGGTTAATAAGACATGATTTACTTGGGATGAGGAGAGAAAGCATTCCTTAATAATCGATACTCTAAATCATACGACAAAAAAAAAATCTATGCATCTTTCTCATGTCAACAAGTTTTTAATAAAAAAAATATTATTTTTAATATGTATAAAACGTGGAGAAGAAGGATGGATGATGATTCATATATATTACAAATTTACAATATGGCATTATTCTTCATTTTTACTTATTTTGTTTAAAGATAGAAAAGTAATATACTAGTAGAAGAAATGTAAACTTATAAAACTACATAAACTCAAAAGCTAATATTCCTATTCTCTTTGACATATAATCTCCTTAATCTTAATAGTAACTTATTTCTTCTATACGAAATACAATATACTGTATATATATATATATATATATATATATATATATATATATGTGTGTGTGTAGATTATACAATTAATTCATTGCACCTCTTGATTACAGAAAAACACAGACAATTACGAAGAAGCTAGGTTAGGATTTTTGGAAGAAAAAAAGCAGAGAATGTCGACAGAGCTGCTGGGGTTGATCGTCTTCATCCTTCTAGTCCTTTTCATTGGTACTATGGGGTATTTTTGTGTGAAGAATGGTCAAGATCAAGAGAAGTCCTGATGTGGTTTAATTACAAAGTTATTTTTTTAAACTAATTACAAAGTTATTTACCCTTTTATATTTTTTATTTTCGAATTAGAGAGAGGTGTTGAGGTGAAACTAAAGATTTTTATCTTATTTTTCTTTATCGTGTTGTTCCATACTAACGTGTTCTTTTCTATCTCTCTAAAACAGTTTAGTATGATATTTACATTAACAAATTGGTTTATTTATTTATAAGAGTTTGTTTTCATGCATTATATATGTGTATCAAACGAACGATACTTCTTATGTATTTTCGTTGAGTGATTTCTCTCGTCTAAAAGAGAAGACTATTTATTAATATGCACGAGTTGAGTTTTTAAGACTGCACCTAAAGTTTATCTGAAATAAAATAATTGGACGTCCTGCATGTTAACTTGCTCAATGGTTGGTATGCGAAAAAAAAAAAAATACTCGACTGACAGAGAAATTTAGGTTTAGCAGATTTCTACGAAGCTTACTCTGTGATTATCCATGGCGGAAAAAAAGAGCGAGATGAAGATATCCAGAAGATTGTTTGGATACAAGTCTTTTCTAAATCCTAACCGAGTCTAGGAACCACATGTAACTTAAACCAAACAAACAAAGAAAGCTGCAAACCCTAGTGCAGTCTTTTTATTCATGGTTTCTTCTTCCGCAAGAAAGGGTTTTAAAAGAAGATTAATGGTTTGATGATGAATGTCGGAAGAATCATTCATAGCGGTAAGAGCCACTATAGTGGAGAACCATGACGAACCCAGCTCCAAATCTTCCAACCATCCCGTTTTTTCGCTCAGCAATTGGAGTAGTCTGAACCCACCAGTCCGCCAACTCATGCAGCTTCTGTGTAGGACACACGGACTCTTCCCTTAGCCATATCTCCACCTGCATGATCCAACCAAAATGAGAGATCAATATCTTAGTTTTAAAGAGACATATAGACAAAGAAGAGTCATTACTTCGTTCTCGCTTTTCAGACCGAGCTTTTTCGCTACATACTTCTTGACATATGACACAGTTAAGTTTCCATCTCTGTCAAATAAAAGCATCACTATCACACTTTCTCAATGAAGTTGTTATGTCTTCAAAAGTAACAACTTACGTTTGTATGTTTTGACTGGAGATTTGTGGCAGTAGAGGCATATTAGTGTTCCGGGCAGCTATTAGTGAAAACCAAACTTTTTTTGGTGTAAGTGAAACTTTGTTGTTACTTGCTTCAGTTTTCTTCTCTTCCTCCAAAGAAATGGCAGATTGTGATGATGTACCACCTGAACTGATATCCACATGCATTCCGGGTTTCGAAACCGGAGGAGAAGAAGCTTTTCCTTTCCCTTTCTGACCAGAGACCTGCCTCTGGGTAGAGAAACTTACTATCTTTTCTTTACCTTTGTTCTTTGATTTCTCACTAGAGATTCTCTCTGCAAGGACAGTGTTTTGTTTCTCTTTGCCATTTGGAGTTATTGCAGTCACAGCAGTCAGTTCAGTATGGTTGCTCTTATCAGTAGTACTCAAGAACTTTCCAAGATAATCAAATGATACTGGAATCTCTTCCTTATCTTTTCCAGAGTTGTTTTCCTTTTGTATGCATCCTTTATATGTTGATGCTCCAACCTGTGACACATCAGTTTCATCTCAGTAACAAAAAAATAATTTAAACACTCAAGAAAATGATATTCCTTCTGTTTCAATATAAGTGATGTTTAAGAATTTTTTTTTTTTGTTGCAAAATAGCTGATGTTCTCATTATTATAGATAGAATATAATATCATTTGAAATTTGTGACCAACTACAAAATACTATATTTTTTCTTATTGGTTGAACTAATTTCATTTAATGATATTATATAACCAAAATAAACTGTATAAAAGTTTGTATTTTCTTAAATCTTGTGCAAAAACTTTAAACACCACTTATTGAAACTGAGGGAGCATAGTAATAAGTTCTACTCACCAAAACATTGTTTTCCTTGCCAAGCTTCTTTGGTTCCAATGGCTCAGGTGGGGTTGGTACTCCAGATGAAGTGGTGAAGAGTGAAGTTAGAGATTTCTTCTTCTTTCTGGAGTATTTCGAAGAGGTTGAACCAGTTTTCAAAGAGGTTGAACTAGTTTTAGTTACTGCTTTAACGGTTTTTGGCTTTCGTTTGAAGAATCTGTGCTTCAAGTCATTCCAACCGTTATCCAGCCTGCACTTTCATAGCTCAGTTACATATTTGATGTTCCAGTTTTTGTTAAAGTGCATAAACATATTTATTACAAATGTTAAGAATAAGAAAAGACAGATTATGAAATTCAAAACTTGATGATATACTGGGGTTGATTAGCAGTGGTTATAGGTGTTTGGACAACCATTTTTTTTCTAAAACATTTTTATAAAATAATCATGCTTTAGTTAATAAAAATAAAACTACAACAAAAGAAGTTGGTAAAGAAAATGGGGTTGATTGGCAGGGTTATAGGTGTTTGGACAACCATTTTCTTTCTAAAGCATTTTTATCAAATAATCATGCTTTATTTTTAAAAAAATAAAACTACAACAAAAAAAGTAGTAAAGAAAATATGTTAGTTTTCAAAAGTAATATTTCTACAGTTTTTATTAAGTGCTTTGAAATAAATCCACAGAAAAAAAAAATTAAAGCCTAAAAAAAAAATCACAGCTAATTTTCTAAGCAAAAAAATAAAATTACAGCACTAACCAATCAACCCCAACCCCATTGTATTTGATGTTGAGAATATATAAATGGTGACTATACTTGAGTTTATCAAAAGGAGCAACACCAAGATCAATATTGCAGACTGGACAAGCTTTCAAGTTCTCTACTCTGAGCTTGTCCTCTATGCATCTCCTGCAAACTGTTGCCAAAATATCCGGAGTCAGAGAGCACAACATAAAAAGCAAAAGAACATATTGAATGTGCTTCATTTAGAATTTTTGAATGATTTCTTACTAAAAAGAAGATAACTTTTCAAACGCTTCTTTTCCAGCAAAAACACAACAAATGAAACCAATGATTTGAGAGCAGTTAATTTAAAATCTCACAGAGAAGTATAAAATGAAACTGAATCGTCTTTACAAAAACAGTCCTCATCTGCAATACAGTACTTCAAGATAACAAGTTTATGCTATTATTTACGAAAAAACTTGTTGCTATGAGATATAATTTTGACACAAACATTACAAGGTGAAGAAAAATATTGTTTTTGCTCTGAGATTCAATCTGAAATATCTATCAAAAGAGAGGAAATTTTATAGTTTACTTAAATATGTGTGAATGATATAACATGATTTCAACAGAAACAAGTGATGCCAAGAAGGTAACAGTAAGAGCTTTTTATCAAGTGAGATACTCTAAAAAACATTTTAAAAACAAATATTAATATTTAATATGGTTAAATTGTTTAATCAAAATAAAATCTGAATCAATCATAGATGTATAAATGGCTGAGGGGTTTTCAAAGAGATTCTCGAAGTTTCTGATTTGAGACGAAAATCGAGTTTCATTCTCTTTCTTCTTATTATATCTTTTTATCTTAATGATTAGATTCATATCACACATAGCCAAAGGAGATTTGCAAAATCGTAGTAAAAAATAGAGAAAATTACAAAAAAAAAATCAAGACTCACATATGTGGTTACACTCAGTGATGTTGGTGGGATGATCGAGTAAATTGTTGCAGATAGGGCAATTGAGGAATGGATCCACATCCTGCTTCAAAATATTCTTCTTCTCCATTTCCATATGTCTCAAAGAAAAGCTGTGCGGCTATTTGATAAGATAAAGATAAAACAATATCTTAAATCTTATTAAAGGTAGGGGTTACACTAATAACTGATATTATTTCATTGGAAGATTAATTGGGCCTCGGACCATATATCACTTGATTAACAAAAAATGAGATTTGTATTTAGTTGTTAAATTACCGTTAAGTATATTCCGAGAAAGTGGTCCTTAAGATTTTAGACAATTAGAACTGAAAGAGTCTCAGAGCCAGGGTGCATGCCAATTTTATACGATCAGGTGGAGTGGCACAAGATCTGCCTCTTAGCTTATGTCGAGATATTGATTCCTTCACACAACAACTTGCTTCTCGTGTTGGTGAATTAGAAGAGATGTCGACCGGCAACCGTATCTGGAAACAACGATTAGTGGATATTGGTACTGTCACTGCACAGCAAGCAGAGGATTGGGGATTCAGTGGTGTAATGAAATGCATTTTATGTGGTTTAAAAGCAAAATGATTTAATTTCTAAATTGGGGTAATCCAATATATACAAATTGAGAAACATGTACAACACAATATGTAATAAAATTAAGCATTACAATGCTGTTTTTTGTGTAGAAAATAAACATTAAATTGTATCTATTTTGAATATATTAAATTATCTCATATTTATTCTTTAACAACTTAGAGAGAATGTTCACAAAATTCTGTCAACGTGTCAACACTAGAACCTTTAGTTCATAATTATAATTATAAATGTATATGTTTTTAGCTATGGAAGTATAATTTATAGTAAATATCCATATTTACAAATGATATTAATTTTGAAGGCGTAATTTATATAAGTCAATCTATTGTTGCATTAGACATTTTAAAGTTATGTGTACTGTATAGGATGATGTTCTGAATATTATTCGATAAGTTAAAGATAACTAGATATTGATCTGCTCATCTGCATTGTTTTTATCTTGTAACTATTTTTGATAATATTCATTACCTTTTATTTTTCTCTTCAAAAAGACCTAATTATTGATTTAATTTTTTAGATTTGGTATAATAAATTTATTATGATAAATTTTCTGGATATAAATTTCCAAACATTTTGGTTTAAATTTTAGATATTTATATAGCACAATATAATTTGGGTTATAATTTAGCAAACTGATTAAGAAATTGATGTATATTACATAATTGCATAATTCATAATATTAGTATACAAACAGCTGCATAATTTCATAATTCAAAATATTATTAATACTCCATAAAATAGTCGTATAGAAATAATATTAAATAAAATATTTTTTACAAAGAAAAATTAATTTAAAATACACGGTCTAATTTCCATTTGCTATAAAATACATGAACTACTTTAGATCACCGTTTAATACACGAACTAATTTTCGTTTCAGTTAAATACTTGACTTTCAAAATTCGCAGATCTTACACATCGATTTAGACGACATCAACTATGTATAAAAAAAGTGACAACGACATTAGTGTTTAAATAAACACATGGTTAAATATATACGAACTAATTGTCATTAGTCAATAAAATACACTAACTATTTTGGATCCCCATTTAATACACAGTATTTTTTTCCTCATTAAAAATTGCATATTTTACACATCGATTTAGACGACGCAACTATGTGTAACATAAATGAAGATGACGTAAGTGTTTAATTAAACATGTGCTTAAACTGTGAAAAGCACACTCAACCTCAACCAAAAAATATTAAATATATTGAGTATTAATTCAATTTAGTTTTAATTTATAATTTAAGTTAGTTTCAAATCGAGTTAGGAAAATAGTTTATTTCATTCTCTTATTATTCAAAGTCTGTTATTTTTCTTCTTATTTGCTTTGATTTCTGTTTATATCGATTTGAAGTATACTCAATTTTCATGTCACCTTGATTTCTTATTATTCTCTTCGCTTTGATTTCTTCTTCTTCATGTCATGAAAAAGACAAAGAAAACTAGGTAATTTCGAACAAGTTTCTGATTTTTAAATTAGTTAAGTGTTATGCTTCTCTGATTTTTACTCTTCGCTTTGATTGCTCTGATAATGAATCAATAAAGGTTAATCTATATTATAGAAGCGTAATGGAGAAAAAAGTTAACAATATAATATATCAGGAAGATTTTAAAGGAATTTTCTTTCACTATTCAATCTCATGTTTAATTAAACATTAACATCGTCTTCAATTACTTTAAACAAAGTTGATGCCGTCTAAAAAAATGTAAAACTTGTGAATTTAAAAAGTTTGTGTATATAATGAGAAAATATTATTAGTTTGTGTATTAAAAGGAGATCCAAACTAGTTCGTATATCTTATTAACAAATATAAATTAGTTTGTGTATTTTTGTAAAAAAAATCTCTTTCACAGTTTAAACATGTGTTTAAATTAAACACTAATATCGACATCACTTCCGTTAAACATAGTTGATTAACTCGAAGTGTAAAATCTGCAATTTAAAAAAATAGTATTTAATTGGCAAAAAAAAATTAGTTCATATATTAAACTGTAATCCAAAATAGTTCATGCATTTTTATAGCAGAAGGAAATTAGTCCATGTGTTTTTAAAGAACTTTTCCATTCTAAAAATGATACAACATATTTCAGTTTACGTTTTATAGTAACAAACAGCGTGATTTTAAATGGGTCGTGGATGCAATTCAAAATTTTATGTTAATCGAAAGATGTGGAATAACAAATATAGATTAGATGCTAGTGTTTCTACAGTCTTTAATATATGCACCATACTGTAAAACATAGACGTTGAAATAATACTTATCATTAATTTGTAGTTTTTCTGGATGTACTCGACTTACTTTTGGAGGAAAAGCTTAGGATTTTGTCCATACAATGTATGTTTTGTCGTACAAGCATAACCAATTATATTCCAGACTGATATAGCTAAAATATAATTTAGTATTAAAATTATGTTTTAATTATTGTAAATCAAAATATGTATTACTAGGACAAACTCGTCCTACAGACGGGCGTATAAATAAAATAATAATATAAATTTAATTAAAATCTTTAATTTATTTTAACTAAAAAATACCGCATAATTGTTTTATCACAATTTTATTTGTATATTTTAAAATTCATTTTATAAATTATTATTTAATTTTATAAATTATTAACTGGTTTAACTATATGAACTATAATTATTTAATTTCTTTTAATGTTTCTCTTAGTTTAACTATACCAATAAAACACATAGACAAAACACTATGAAACATTAGATATTTTTAAAAATTTATGTATATTATTAAATAATTTACTATATATTATTTTAAGATTATTATTTATTTCGACTTCTCTAATTATTCATATCAACTATTACGGTTAAATTATTTGATATTATAATATTCAACCTTACATTATATCTCGATTAACTATATTTCACAATCCAATGATAAAATTTAATGGGATATTTTTACTTTGGCGATGTGGATGTTTTTATAAGTTTATTTTTTAGATCATCTAGCTTTATAGTTAGTATTATTGATATCTTCGGGTGCAATATTAGATTTATTTTTACTTTTACAGATTAACAATTGTTTTTATATTAATGTGGTTCGTTTACAAAAATTTCAACCAAGTGTTTTCATATTTTCTTATTTTACTTGGTCTAATGTGTTAGTATTGCGTTGATTTGGCTAACAAAAATACAACCTAGTTATCCTATTTGATAAACTTTTTAAATTTTTAATTTTCTTTCAACTTGGTTTGATACACGTAAGGGTGGGACGGATCAGATATCGGGGTATTTTAGGATATTCGGATCCGTAAAGTTACTATCCGGATCCTGATCCGGGCCATCCGGGGTCCGAATATCCGGACTAAAACCTCGGATACCTGCGGATATCCGGATCCGGTTTATTTTTAAAAAAAAATAAAAATTAAAAATTTAGTATTTATTTATTCTATTAAAAATATTATTTTGCAAAAAATTAAATTAAAATAATAGAATTTACTAACAAAATTAAGTATTAATTATATTTAATATAAATATATAATATACCTATATCAATATAATTATATTTTAAATATTTTTAAATATTTAGTGGGCCCGGATCCGGATATCCGGACTGAAAATTTCACTATCTGGATTCGGGTCCAGATTCGCCGGATCCGTGAAATCACTATCCGGATCCGGATCCGGACCCCCCGGATATCCGTTTTTCGGAGCAGATCGGAGCGGATCCCGAATTGGATAGCGGATATAAGTTCCAGCCCTATTTGTTGTTCCTATGAATGAATACATGTAATAGCAATATCATAAATGAATTCTTCTATTTGTTGTTCCTATGAATTTTTCATACTTATTCTTGAAATTATGTATCTCTATAATATTATTTGAGAAGTCAGTTTCCTACGTGTCGCGCTCACGTTAACTCTCACGATGGTTGATTACATAGATACCCTTAATGATTTGTTAGTTTTAAGATTATTATTTTTTATTTAGTTTTTTTTACCTTTTTCCAAATAACATATACAATAAAAAGGAAATATTTCTAAAATCTTAAAACAAATTTTAAAAACGAAATATATGTATATAATATGACTTTATTAAAAGGAAAAGTTCACAAAATAGCAATACCCCATTAATATATATTTTAAAATAACATAAAATATATTTTCAAAATAATAAAAATATATATGTTCATGAACATCCAAAAACTTATCAGTTGCATTTTATTTTCTAATATTTTTTAGAAATCAACATATAATTTGATAAATATTATGAAAATACATGTATATTTAAGCGATAACTAAAACTAATTTGATTTGACTTAACTAAAATCAATAGTAAATAAATATTATGAAAATACATGTATATTTAAGCGATAAATAAAACTAATTTGATTTGACTTAACTAAAATAAAAAGTAATTATTCTTCAATTTTAATTTACAAATATATGATATTCAATATACTCACAAAATGAATGACTCGGATAATCTAATTTATATTCAAAATTAATAAACTAACTA